CCCGCCTGCTCGAAGGCGGCCTGGCGGCGCAGAAACCGCGGCTTTACCTCAGCTCCCGGCGCGCGGCCGCCGCTCCCAGCGCTCCCCACGCCGCCTCCGATTGACAGCCCGAAGGCGCAGGCGCGCGATGGCCGAGCCGATCGATGGGGCCGGCCGAGCGCCGAGCGGTAGATTGAGGACCAGAAGCGCGCGCACCTCCAGCAGGCCAGTAGGCCGTCCTCGCTCTTCGTTCACAAATCACCAACGCCCACTGCGTGTGCCTCCCGCTGCTGGGCTCCCGGAACCCAGCCTGGGAACAGTCACGGTCTTCCTCCAGCGAGTTCTCATTCTAGGGCCTGGGTCCGACTACTACTCCGTGAACAGAGAGCTCGTTTGGGAACCGCGGTTTTGGACTCGCCTGTGGAGAAATCACCAAATGCCTTTGCAGGCCGGGGCTTTCTATGTCCGTGATGTCCAACGCGGCGACTCACGTCTGCTTTCTGAACCAGGCTATTATTGTACGGAAAACATCCACATTCAGCCATCAAGAGTGGGAGGTAGGGGGAGAGTCAACGACGACCTTAATTGAGTCAGTGACAGGAACAACAGTTTGAAGAAAGTGAATCAGGTGGAGATCTTGGGTAAGAGCCTTTCAAGCGGACTAGCTAACAAGTGCAAAGGCCCTAAGGAGAGGCTGCGTGTTCAAAGAATACAAAAGAGACCAATAAGACTGAAGGGAGGTAAGCTGGGGAAGAATGAATGATGGCACAGGAGGTCAGAGAGGCAATGGGGGAAAAGATGAATTCAGATCCTGCGGGTCTTGTAGGCCATTGTGAGGACCTTGAATTAAGTAGAGGAAGAACATAACGTGACAGGGTTTGGAAGGATCACTCTGGGTGCTGTAATAATACTCTGGGAAGCAGGGAGTCCACTTAAGAGGCTGCAATTGCATGAGACCGCAAATATCTGAGTCTAGACAATTCCAATTTTGAGAGGCAATAAAATGTTTTAAGCAGAAAGTTTTTGGGTGGTGGGTTAAGTTGCAGCAGATTGCAGAAACAATGGTCATTCTCTCTTTCCCACACATCCCTGCAACTTCCAATCTTGTGGAAGCTTTCTCTTTTTATATCCATCTCTTAAACGTTGAGTTGCTTTAGCTCCCTGCCAGTTAGGAGGCAGAGACTAATTTCTGCAATAAAATTAAAGGAGCTTGACTTCATTTAACAGTATTTATTGAGTACATAATATGTGCCAAGCAGTGTCTTAGATGCTAGATGATGCGGATACAGCAATCAGAGAGAAAGACAGGACTTGTAATTTTTCCCAGGCTTTTAGCCAGGAGAATACAAGCTCAGCTTCAGTCCTGCTAAAGAGTAAGACCTGAGGCCATATCCATACAACCAGCCTTATTCCAGCACTGCCTCTCCTTCACTTTGTGATGCTGTTGATCAGTTATTGAATATTATTTTAAATTTTATTTTTGTTTAAAATATTACAGATGTCCCTTTTTCTCCCCAATGACCCGTTCCACCCCGTCCCATCCCCCTGCCCAGTCCCTCTCCCCACCATTGTCTGTGTCCTTGGGTTGTGCATATAGAATTATTTTAAACTGAACTATAACACTGAATATATTGGTAAAAATGAGCCGTGGAGTGATTGGTCACAAAAGCCCTGAAATTTGACTATTTTTTCCTTCTGCAGCAAGATTCTCTTTCCTTCGTATAAGCTCAAGCAAGCAGAAGCCTTTGGAATTACAGCATAGTTTTGAAGAACTAGTTATAAAATAAGAATAGCATTCAACCCTGTATCTATCACTCATTTTATTTATTTTTAAAAATATATCTTTATTGATTTCAGAGAGAGGAAGGGAGGAGAGATGGAAACATCAATGATGAGTCATTGATTGGCTGCCTCCTGCATGCTCCCTACTGGGGATCGAGCCCCGAAACCTGGACATGTGCCCTGACTAGGAATCGAGCCATGATCTTCTGGACCATAGGTCAATGCTCAACCACTGAGCCACATCCAGCCAGGCAGTGCTCATCTTAAATGCTCATGTTTAAACTAGCCAATGTTTTCAGGGAACTTGATGAGTTCCTCCTCTAGTTGAGGAAAAGTAATTGAGGGATTGCTTCATTTAAACTCACTTTAAATTATTCCCTCAGGGCAGTGGTTCTTTTTTTAAAAAACAAACTATTTTTTTAAAGATTTTTAAAGTGATTTTTAGAGAGAGGGGGAGGGAGACAGAGAAACACTGATGTGAGAGCAGACTATCCACCAGCTGCCTCCTGCATGCCTCCTACTGGTGATGGAGCCCACAACCAGGGCATGTGCCCTGACCAGGAATCAATCAAGCAACCTTTCAGTGCACTGGGCAATGCCCAACCAACTGAGCCACAACAGCCAGGGCAGGGCAGATCCTCTTAAACTTTTTGGTCTCTGGACACTTTACACTCTTAAAAATTATTGGGACCTCCAAAGAACTTTTGTTTATATGGATTACATTTATTGATATTTGCCACATTAAAAATTCAAACTGAGAAATTATAAAAACATTAATTCATTTAAAAAATAAAAATAATAAAATCACTACATAGTAACATAAATAACATTTTTATGTAAACATATAATCTGTTTTCAAAATAAAACATTTACTGAGAAGAATGCCATGGTTTTGCCTTTACAAACTCTTTAATGTCTGGCTAAGTAGAAAACAGCTGGATTTTCCCATCAGTTGTGATACACTGTTTTGGGTGAATTATATGATGAAAACCTGACCACACAGATAGGTAATTGGAAAAGAGAGATATTTTAATAACTTTGTCATATAGTTGTAGGTATTCTTCTTTTGATACTACACCAAAACTCAGTAAGTGGTAGTTTGTAAAGATTAGTTGCAATTTAGAATAATTATATCAATGAACATTTTGTACTTTGTTATAATACTTGCACTTTGAATGGACATTTTATCCATGCATGATTTTGCAACTTGACGCACTGATCATTTGTAAAACATTGGTTCACTGAGTTATGCAGATTTTCCCAGTGTTAACTCATTTTATTATCTTATTTTTTATTTTTTAATTCTCACCAGAGGATATTTTTTCCATTGCTTTTCAGAGAGAGTAGAAGGGGGGTAGAGAGAGAGACACATCAATTGGTTGCCTTCCACATGCAACCAGGGCCGGGGAATGAACCTGCAACTGAGGTACGTGTCCTTGACCGGAATCGAACCCTTCAGTCCAAGGGCCGGCGCTCTAACCACTGAGTTAAATCAGCTAGGGTTGTTGACTCATTTTATACAATATTTTAAAATCACATTTGTTATTATCACCACTAATCTCATCAGAAAAGTCCTTAAATATTGGAAAGCTGGCAAGCTGATAATGACAGACACCACTTTCCCAAACTTTTGATTTTCTTCTGAAGGCTCAAATATTATCATTGGCAACAAATACTGTTAGTGGTTTTCCTTGAAGTGGCTGGCTTACTTCATTTAGATAATTTGTTGGCCATATAAGAATACAAGAAATGATAAGATGTGAAAAGGTAGCATTTCAAATCAATGGGAAATTGATTTTTCAAATCAATTTAAAAAAGGAAGCTAAGGATACTGGTTAACAGCTAGGATGTGGTAAAGTTAGGATATGAATATAGGCAAACTGACTCTAGAGAATGTGTTCTTGCCCTGGCCAGCATAGCTCAGTAGTTAGAGCATTGGCCTGTGCACTGGAGGGTCAAGGGTTTGATTCCCAGTCAAGGGCTCATACCTGGGTTGCAGGTTCAATCCCCAGGCCTGGTTGGTCAGGGTGTGTGCAGGAGGCAACCAATCGATGTGTCTCTCTCACATTGATGTTTTTCCTCTCTCTCTCCCCTTCCCCCTCCCTTCTACTCTCTCTAAAAATCAATGGAAAAAATATCCTCACCCCTCATGCGAAGGTTAAATAAATAAATAATATATAAAATAGAGAATGTGCTCTTAACAAGTAAACTATATTGCCTTCCCATGGTATATATCCAATAAGTGGTTTTTTCCATAAAGACTTTGAATTCATAAAATGTAAAATTTTATACATTAGGAAAGAATATTTATGAAATTAAATATTAAAGTACAGACTGAGAAACAATGACAACACCTGACACAACAAAGGGGTTAATATAGAAGTTAAGGCACCTTAGTTACCATGTCAGCAGGCTTTGGAGGCCCTTCCTTTTTTCACTGTCCCCAGCTTTTTTTTTTAATCCTCACCTGAGGGTATTTTTTCCACTGGTTTTCAGAGAGTGGAAGGGAGGTAGGGAGGGAAGGGGGACAGAGAGAGAGAGAAAGAGAGAGAGAGAGAGGAAGGAGAGAGAGAAACATTGATGTGAGAGAGACACATGGATCGGTTGCCTCCTGCACATGCCCAACCGGTGCCGGGTACCCCGCCTGCAACCTAGGTACATGCCCCTAACCAGAATCGAACCCAGGACCCTTCAGCCCACGGGCTGATGCTCTAACCACTGAGCCAAACTCGCTAGGACTCACTGTCCCTAGCTTCAATAAATGTACTCTCAAAATCAAAATCAATCAATCAATAAGAAAAGTATAATCAAACCAATAGAAAATCAGACAAAAATATATAAAGAGCAGTTTATAAGGAAGAAAAACAATTGCTCAATGTAGTAAATAATCAAAGCAATGAAAATTAATATAATCATACCATTTTTAGGACATTAAATTATCAAATAACATTTTTAAGTGTTAGTACTCAAAGATTGGTAAGAGTTTAGGAAATAGACACTACAGAGAGTAAAAATTGATACATCCTGGCAATTTGGCAGTTTGACAAAGCGATTTTAGTTATTCTAAGGAAATAATCAAATAGGTATGTGCAAGGATATATGCATGAGAATATTTATTGTAACACTTGTAGTTTTCAATATCGAAAATTTGTAAACAACCTTAATGTCCATCTGTAGAGGGTTTTAAATGAATAGACAGTATGAAAATTCCCTACAATGTAATAATACAATAGTCAATAAAAATGATTAAAATGGTCTGTGACCATCATTTCCTGCTCAGATTACTCCCTGCCTCCAGTGTCTCCCTCTCAATTCATTCTCTACACAGCT